AAATGGAAGTAATTTCTAGGAATGAAATTGAATTAGATATCCTTATTCTAATGAGAGCCAAAGTTACTTGTTTTAAATAAACGTTTAAAAAACACACAATACTACCCCAAACTTTTGTTATGATTTTTTTCTTAAAAAGAGAATTTGGAACATTTATAAGGAGTTTTTTTAAGAAAATATTGTGCAAAGCTTTAGCATTTTTCTGTGTTCTTTTGTCTTTATGGAATTTTTTTTTTAATTGTTCCATTTAGATCAAGATGCCTGATAAACCAAATGCTTCCAAGAAAAAGTCTCAACAGTTAAAAAGAAATCCAAAAAGAAAAACTGATGATGAGGAAGTAGAGTTATCAAAGAAAGAGGTAATGAAAATACCAAGTTTATCATTTAGAACTCTTGGATTAGAAATAATGTCTATTTTATGGAAAGAGTATATGAAGACTAAGGCTCAGTTTTACCACAAATTATAGCAATTCATATCATTGTATGGAAGATTTTGTAGCATGATTTGTAAAATTCTCAGATAAAAACTATTATTTACTTCAATTTCTAAAAATTAGTATTGACCATGAACTTCTTTGAGAAAGGGAGGGTCATGGGACATTGCTAAGGGTGTTTAAATGGGAAGATTAAGAATAAAGTGTACAAATTCTTATAGCATTTAAATGTTAAGAAACAAGAGAATCTGTCATTTCGTGGAGGATATTTTTATTAAAATAGAGAACAAATAGTTTGGGAGGAATTAGCTTTTTCCTACCATAACTTTGCCCGTCTCTTAGAACAAATGAATTAATCAAAAATTTTTTTTGTTTGACCTGCTCATTAGACAATCTTATATTTGTTTTGCAGGTAAAGTATATAACACTATTTCACAGGCAAACTGAGTAATGGTCTATTTAAAACATTCTTTGACACTTTATAAAACTTAATTATTATCACCATTGTCCAAGAATCAATTTACTATATCCTCTGCCTGTGATACACGCCTTTCTTTTGTAGAAGTGGCAATACACATTTTTCTACCTACCAGAAGTTATATGAATACTCTTCAACATACATGATGAATCTATTATAAAAGCAATGTCATTTTATCTCATGTTTAATTCTGTGTGTGTATGCATGTGTTTCTCGCTCTAGGTTAGAGGCACAGCAAAAAGAAAGAAAAATCATCCAAAGCATCTGTCTTCTGAAGGTATATCTTTTTTATTATCTTGTTAACCTGCTGCTTTCTCCAGCTATCTGCATTTATTAAAAATTTTTCAGCATCTTGCTTATGAGTTTTGCAAAAGCAAAAGATAGTAATAAACAGCTACATTTGCATTTTTGCAAAAATAAATAGTCCTGGTTAGTCAGTTATTTTGGTCAACTGAAATTCTACTTAACACCTGTGGCAAAATACTGTGGAGGCTTCTATGCCACTAAGTTGATAGGAACTAGAGAAAATCAAAGTGGCCCATAGTCTAAATTGTTAATGATCTGTGATATAAAGACAAACCTTACTGATTTCTCTTCAAGATGAATATGCTTTCTGTTCTATATAGATTAGTTTGGAACCACTATCTAAGTTTGTTCGGAGTAAATTAGTTTGGAGTAGTCGTCTTTGCTTAAACATCACTTCTTCATGGAAGGATTCTCTACCTCTCCTCACCGAAGACCAGGTTAGGTCTTCTAGTTTTATTCTTCCATTGCACACCTATAATTTGTTTAACATTTCTTCTCTCCAAAACTGGTCTTCATGAGAGCCAACACTATATCTCCTTTGTGTATCCCTTGTAAGTAGAATAGGACCAACAACATAGTTAACACTGAATCTATCTGTGGCTTGATTCGTCTATTTTATTCTAGTTGCCATCCAACATTTGGTAGAAATAGTTCTCTAATCTTCTCAATAATGTTTTTAAAGAACTCAGGTCATTTCTGAGAACCAAACTTTGAGTAATTATATCTTGATTCTTCACTCTAAATTATTTATTTGGGGTTTATATTGCAATATCACCTAGTATTTTGGCTAACGTAACAATAGATATGTTCATATTCAACATGTAGCATGTTATGGCTATGTAATAAAAAGTAAATTAAACAGTTTATACAGTTCTATAATATTTTGTTCTCATAATTTTCCATAAACTTTTAGATTAAAAAAATCACTTTTTAAGTGAAACATGCAAACTTCTGGATTGATCATAGTCTTTTCTATTATCAATGACAGGACAAACAAAGCATACTAATGTAAAACAGATAAAGATAGCATCCAACAAGAGAAAAACCTGGCAACCTCTTTCAAAGAGTAGCAGAGACCATTTGCAAACTATAATGGAATCAGTAATAATGTGAGTATAAAATTTTTTCACTTCACTCTTTTGGTTTCCACTTAATGTGTTTCCTATGGACATTATCCTTCTAACTATTACTATTTATTTTAAGTGATAGAGTATTTTTCTATTTCAGAAGAATTATATTTAATGTCTTATGGTGGCATTAGCCTTTAGCAAAAAAGTCTTCATTAATTTTAAAAACTTGAGATTCTATCAGTGAAATAAAAAGCAAGTCTTTGTGGCCCCACCTGCTATCTATAAAATTTTAACTTATTCTGTCAATAGGAATTCTTGAAGAAGAAGTTAAGTTCAAAGGGATGCTTTATATAGAAGCTGCCATGGTAGAGAAGACACAAGGAAAATTAGACAGAATTCTGCCATCATGGAGCTGAACTCCATCTGAAGAGCCAGGCATATAAATTACAATACATGTGGTTTTAAAAAAATTATTTTTCATTGTATCTCTGCTTAAAATGCATTTAATATAAAAGGAAAAGTGATTGATTCTGCCTAGCTAGTGAGTAGAAGCACTCGAGAGAAATCAGAGAGAAAAAATACACAGATTATATTATTTGTGTTTCAGTCTACTATTTATTCAATCTTTTTTTTCTTTTCTAGAACAATTTTAAGTAAAACTATTAGGGAAAAAGAAGAAATACAATATCATCTCAACTTCCTGAAGAAAAGGTATTAATGATAATTATGCTATTTGAAATCGTTAAAACATAATTTTTAAAAATCTATCTTCTTCCTATGTTGCCAAAGCAGACACTTGTGGAATATAAGTTTTTCAGTTTTTTAAGATGAGCAATTTGGAAATATGTATTTTTCTTCTTTCCTAACTGCTGCTGCATGCATTTCTGAAAGAAGTGTCAGAGAATTTGTAAAAAGAAAAAAAAAAAGACTCTGAAAATCACAGAATACCTATTTCCACAGTTTACTCTTCTGTATCAGGATTTGAAAAATATTTTGTCAATTTTAACTCCCTTCATCTTCATTTTTAATGAAGTTAACAGTTTACCACTCATATCTGATATTTATCCTGTTGCTGTGTTTTTACTTTACTTCATATTGTCTTACATTATTTGTACAAGCAACAAGTATAATTTTCCAAGATATTAGTGTTCTTCATCTTGTGGTAAATCACCAATGGAGGTTCCTTTTCAAGTGTTCTTAAAAATCACTGCCCGTGATTTTCAGGTATTACTTTAGTATTTACACTTTTTCAGAAAACAATGCTCTGCATCTCAGTTTCAAAACAGCAAATGAACCTTCTACACAATTGGTTTAATAAACATTTAGAAGATACTTCATAAATGAAATTTTTATTTTAGTTAAAAAAAACTTATGCCTCTTAGGAAATCTTACATAGACAGGTTGTTTTTGCTTAAATGTGATAGTCCATTTAAGTCCCTAGTCCATAGTCCATAGCTGCCTACCTTTTTCTTTTAGAAAATTAAGGTTTTTAATGAGATCCCAGAAGTGGGATAGTGGGTTCCACTGTTGTTCATATTCCTTCAAATCTTAAGTAGTAGAATTTTTTAGAAGCCAAAGACACTGCTTTTAGGTAGAAGGAACCAAATTTAGCTTTTCTTCCTTGATTTTTTTCCTCACAGAATTCAAATATCAAATCTGAGAAAGAAAGCTATCTTGCTTTCTGCTGGATGTAAAGGTAGAAATAGATCAGTTTCTACTGGTGATATATCAACCCAAATTTGTAGGAGAATTTTTTAACTTTAATATTAAATACCATTCATGTTGATAGTACTTTAGAGCAAAGCACTTTACTCTTAGTGTTTTATTTGCCTTAAACTCTATGGAACTCAGTTTTCTTTAAAATCATTTAGAGTAATTAATGTAAAACTTCCCATTTATTGGTCATATTCTCTAACATAACAACTTAGGGTCATACTTAAGACTTCTAGACTAGTGTTCTCTTACCCAACAATTCACATTAGGTGATAGACATATGTGCTGTAATAGCCTAGGAAACATGTAAATGATGCAAAGAAGTTTTCATTTTGAAACGTGTATTAATAACTGGTAAATGTGTAAAATAGAAAATTTTCTGTTATAAAGCAGCCTCAGTGACCCATAATTTGAGATAAATCTTAATAAATTGAAAGGTTAAATGATGATTTATCAGGCTTTTCTTGGGGGAGGGGACCTATTGCCATAGTTAGCCACTGTTAATAAAATAATGCTGTACCCTTAGGAATATGAGAGAAAAAAAATGAGAACCGTCTCAAAATAAATAACACTAATGGTACTCAAAAATAAACAAAATAATCATGTTTTTATTCTATCCTTAAGATTGCTACAACTGTATGAAACCCTGAAAGTCCCTCCTGAAAAGCTGAAAGATTTAGCCAATGTGCCAAGTCTACTGAATATGGAAAGGGCACAGGACAGAGCCAATGAGGAAAGTCTGGAATTATTGCAGGTATGAAATTTGAACAGGGAATCCATTGTTAGAGAGTTAGTGGAAAGAAGAGACCAAAAAGTTTTTTAAATTATCATGATATTCTTCCAGTAATAAATGCTAGATCTTGGACCAGGTTTTCATTAAATTATTACTTTTTTTTTAATCAAAGCAAAAACTTTGTCTGAACTTCGGGCCTCTAAAGTATTTCTAATACATTTGTGGTTAAGTTAGCAGCCCTATTTTTTTCATCAGACTTTAACTGAACTTTCTTAGTGTTTTTAATTATCAAGGTATAGGAACTTGTCATTAAATGCTATGGAATTTCAGAACATATTAGTTTTGCTGTCCTGTGTAGGGCAAGAAGACTCAATCATCATCATTATAGTTAATGTGTATTGGGGACTTTCCACATTCCAGGCACTATTCTAAGTACTTTATAGTTATATCCCTTAATTCTCACTATTACTTAGAGAGTCTGACCTAAATTATTCTCATTTTATGAGAATGTGAAGTGTGAAATGTGAAAAAAAAAGGCATGTTGCTATTCCTAACTGAGCCTTAGACAAAAAATTGCTTAAAATTGAGACACAAACCTTATTAGTCTAACTTTAGAGTATGATTCTTGATCATTATGTTATTAATATGTTGCATACTATAGAAGATAATGGGAGATAACATTAGCTGTCAGGATTAACTTCAAGCTTTTTTTTTTTTTTTTTGAGACAGAGTCTTGCTCTGTTACCTGGGCTAGAATGCCGTGGCATCAGCCTAGCTCACAGCAACCTCAAACTCCTCAGCTCAAGCGATTCTCGTGCCTCAGCCGAGTAGCTGGGACTACAGGCGTATGCCACCACACCTGGCTAATTTTTTCTATTTTTAGTTGTCTGGCTAATTTTTTTTCTATTTTTAGTAGAGATGGGGTCTCACTCTTGTTCAGGCTAGAACTTCAAGCTTTTAATTAGTAGATATCTAAATAATTAAGAAAAGCAAACTTGAGTATATTAATTTAATAATTACAAAAACTAAAACAGATTGGACCATATATCCTTTAGACATTTTGAAGTAGATTATAGGTATAGTGCTTAGGTTTTTATTAGCAGTTTAGTAAGTGCAGGATAGTAGTAGTTTCTGTAAGGAATATATTCCCAAAATTTCTAATAATTCAAAATTCACAAATAATTCCATTTTTTCCATAGGATTGAGAATAAAGTTGAAGGGATAGGTTTCTGAACAATAAATCTTCATATCTTTTAAATTAATAGGGTGGTAATTTTTGGTTGTTGCCTCACTTTATTCATAGTGTGATATTGTATTTAATTTCCATCCCAATGTTATACTTTTTCAGGGCATCTTTTCAGTATTGGCACTAGCTTCACCACTTATTAGACACTTAGATGACATTAATATAGGTTATTTTTTAAGGCTTTAAAATATAACAATGGTTAATTTTTTTAACGTTTAATAGTCTTACAAATCAGTTTAAGGTATTCTAAAATAGTAAATGACAGTGCGATTTATTTATTTATTTATTTTTTTGTAATGCTGAGAAGCATTTCTAGCTTACAACTAAAATTGGACCTCCATAAGACAGAAGCACAAATACAGTCTAGTGTTTGCTTGGTAGTCAGTTACTCAATGGAAACACCATTGGCATTTTGAGCTGGAAAGTTTTACACTGGTATAAAAGGATCTTTGAACTAGCAATTTGTAAACTCTTTATCTGTTAATTTTTTTCTCTATGCCTTACTTAGAATCATTGATTTTTCCCACTGCAGCCTAGAGTTATGGTTGGTGGTGATTTTCCAAAACCTATAGTAGTAACAGAAGTTTTCTTCATTTAACAACATTTTCATTGCCCTCTCATTCAGTGATGGTGCTGGGGAAAGGCAATGGTGAACAAAGTCTCTGAAAGATTCTGGGGAAAGACAGCATTAGAACTACTGAGGCATAGTTTGTTAATCTCCTTTGATCTTATCATAAAAAATGGAGCCAAGTATTACAAGAATGGAAAAACAAACACCACATGTACTCAATACTAAATTGGAACTAATTGATCAACACGTAAGGGTACGTATGAAAGTAAAACTGAACAGAAATCAAGTGGGTGGAAGGAGGTAGGAGAGGATAGGGAAATTCACACTTAATGGGTACAATGCACACTGTCTGAGTGAAGGGCACACTTATAACTTTGACTCAGACTGTACAAAAGCAAATTATGTAACCAAAACCTGTGTACTCTCGTAATATTCTGAAATACAAAAAAAATCAAAATCTGAGTTAGCATTAGAAAATATGAGAATAAGAACCAAAAATAACATTCCTGCATACAGCAAAAGCATGCCAAAAAGACATGTGCACAAAACAGATGAACACTAACCTAATTTCTCAAATGAGCTGAAAGAAATTCAGAAAAATGATAGAAGATATGGAAAAAAAAATTATAAATGGAATTAGAAATATGAATAAATGAAGTTACAGAATTTAGGAAAGAGTTAGACATAAAAGAAAAAATCCTTTAGATAGGCAGAAACACTAAAGCAAATAAACATACCAGATAATGCTTATGATAAATGGAAAGTAAGGAGGAAATTTTCAGAATTATAAAATATTTTTAAAAGGAATTGAAAAAAAGGGACAAATATAAGAATTTGGCAAAGAAGATATAGCATGCTTACGGTAGTAATACCCAAAGAAGATAAGCAAAGCAATGGAACAAAATAAATCTTATAATGAAAACTTTTAATCCTTATTAACTCTTTTCTTTATTCAGTGCTGTTATTTATTCCCCTCTGTGTCAAGTTGAACTGTGGCCCCCAAAAGGATAAATCTAAGTCCTAACCCCTGAAACCAGTGAATGTGACCTTATTTGGAAAAGGGGTTTTGATAGATATAATTAAATTAAGGATCTCACAGTGAGATTATCACAGATTATCATGGGTGGATCCAAAATCCTAAAGTGTTCTTGTAAGAGACAAGAGAAGGCACAGAGACAAAGAGAAGATCATGTGAGGACAAAGGCAGAAATTGGAGTGATACAGCTATAAGGAATGTGGACAACCACCAAAACCTGGAAGAGACAAGAAAGCATTCTCCCCTGTTGTTTCAGAGGGATCGTGACCCTGCCAACATCTTGATTTTGGACTTATACCATCTAGAACTGTGACAGAGTAAATTTCTGTTGTTTCAAGCCAAGTTTGTGGTATAGCAGCTAGAAGAAACTAACACATGGTTTACTTTAAATTTGTACTGTTTTTAGATCCAACAACCAATTCACAGAAAATGCAGAATGAGGAACAGGTTAAGCTTCACCAGGGAATGCAGTTCACAAAATTCAGCCTGTGGGAAGGAAATTCCACACAGCAAACTAACCTGCACAAATAAATTGTAAGGAACCAAAAAAATTGGAGTGGAAGAAAAGAAACTTAAAAGACAATTCAACCAGTTACAACCAATTTGGAACCCAATTGAAACAAAATGTAAAAAAATTCCAATTTTTGAGAAAATCAGAAATGTAAACACTATTTGATATTAAGTAATTTATTGAGATTTTTTTCAAATGTAATGATATTGTTATCATGTATTTTTAAGTCCTTTAGAGCTATATTCTGAAATATTTATAGATGAAATGATAGGACATCTAGGATTTACAGGGGAAGGAGCAATAGATGGAGTTAGAAGTGGAATAAGATGGCCATGAGTTGATAATTAAATATGGGTGATAGACACATGAAAGTTCATGATAACATTCTATGTTATTATATATATTTGTGTTTTTCAGGGGTTGGGGAGACAGTCTCACTCTGTTGCCCCAGCTAGAGTATGGTAGTGTCATGATAGCTCACTGCAGCCTCAAATACCTGAGCTCAAGCGATCCTCCTGCCTCAGCCTCCTGAGAGGCTAGGACTACAGACACATGCCATGCCCCACTAATTTTTCTATTTTTTTGTAGAGATGGGGTCTCGCTCTTGCTCAGGCTGGTCTCAAACTCCTGAGCTCAAGCAGTCCTCCTGCCTCAGCCTCCCAGAGTGCTAGGATTACCGGCCTGAGCCACCACGCCTGGCCTGAAATTTTCTATAATAAAAACTTGAAACAAAGTCTTCCTCCACGGAGCTTACACTGTAGTGAGTGGAGCTCACAGTCCCAAAACCTTAAGCATTCAGGGATCAGCACAACTCTTCCTATAAAGGGCCAGACAATAAATATTTTGGCCTTTGTCTCTGTTGCATATTCTTTTATTTAGGGTTTTGACCACCCTTTAAAAGTGCACAAACCATTCATAGTTCTTGGACTATACAAAAACATCTCATGGGCAGTTGCCAACCACTGCTCATACCCTTTTTCAAAAAATTGGTCATTTAGAAGCCACAATATATTTCTTAAGGAAGACTACTGTAATTACCAGCAACAATTCTGCTGTCAGTATTTTGAGAATAATGTTGGATATAGCATCAACCATGTTGCTGAGCAGGACTTAAGAGTTATTACTTCTGTATCTTTTATGTTTGGATTATTCATTGGTTTCCTGATCCCCATAGGCAATGTTATCATTGACTGTTGCTAGGCCTAGATTTGAAAGCAATGTAATACTCAATTGCTCTTAGAAACCTGGAAGCTAGCTAATTCTATACTTGACCTACAAACAGCAAATCCCTGAGGTCTCCATACTCATTTCATTCATTTCTCATTTTTTCTTTGTCTTTCCCTATAAATTATATATTCCTTTAGTGTAGGATACTGTCATTCTTTTTATTATTATTATTATTACCGTCTTTGCCCTAATTGCTTTCTTTTGGCAAATTAAAATAGCAGACACTTCAGATATTCTCAAATTAGTGAAAAAATTTTAGAGTTTCTCTGCTATATGGAAGTTATATGCTACTTGGGGAAGGCTTCTATATTTGCTCTCATTGGCCCAAGGCTCTTCTAGATTCAGACTGGGTCTTCCAGGATCTCTGATACTAGCAGCTTTCGTAAGCTTTAAGGCATTGTTCATATACATGGAGTGTATCTCCTTATACTAGGGAAATTAGGTTTCCTTATAACATGTTATTACATTGGCAAAGCAGCTTTCCAGGAAGTCTGTTTTTTGAAAGAAAAACAAAAGTAAATTCACTGGTTTCTTCTAAAAGTGTTTTAATATATGAGGTGTTTTTAAAATATATATGTGTAACAATATGTTATGGTTTAATTTAATAATGTATTTAACTTGAAATATGAATTTTTTCTTTCTGACTCAGGAAGAAATAGATAAAATGGTAGAGACCACAGAGTTGATGACTGGGAATATTCAGAGCCTAAAGAACAAAATTGAAATTCTAGCAAATGAGGTGGAAGAAGAAGAGAAGACACTAAAACAGGTAATAGTTTAAAAATGTATCGTTGCAATTTGGATATAATTTTTAATGCTTAAATTCTGCCAAGGCAACTTTTGAGTAAAATAAGATGAGAGAAATCAGCCTTTTAAATTAATCTATAGTTTTCTTTTTCTACTTTAGGTGCTCCAAGTGGATAGTAGTGGTGTACTCTCTCTTCCAGAACTTTCTCAGAACAGTCTCAAAGCACCCACACTTCAGGTAAGTACCTGTTTACCATACTGACTACAGGTGTACCTCAGAGATATTGTGAGTTTGGTTCCAGACCACTGCAATGAAACAAGTCACTCAAATTATTTGGTTTCCCATTACATATAAAAGTTATGTTTACACTATACTATAATCTGTTAAGCGTGCAGTAGCATTATCTCTAAATAAACAATGTTCATACCTTAATTTTAAAAGTACTTTATTGCTAAAAATGCTAATGATCATCGGAGCCTTCAGTGAGTCATAATCGTTTTGATTGGTGGAGGCTCTTGCCTTGATGTTGATGGCTTCTGACCGATCAGTCGTGGTTGAAGGTTGAGGTGGCTGTGGCAATTTCTTAAAATAAGATAACAATGAAGTTTGCTGCATCAGTTGGCTCTTCCTTTCAAGAAAGATTTCTCTGTAGCATGCAATATTCTTTGATAGCATTTTACCCACAGTAGAGCTTTGAAAATTGTAGTCAGTCCCCCAAACCAACCAGGTGTAAGTGGCTCACTCCTATAATCCCAACGCTTTGGGAGGCCAAGGCAGGAGGATTGCTTGAGGCTAGGAGCTCAAGACAAGCCTGGGCTACATGGCAAAACCCTGTCTCCACAGAAAAAATTTTTTAAAACATTATCCGGGTGTGGTGGCATGCACCCGTAGACCCAGCTACTTGGGAGGCTGAGGCAGGAGGATCACTTAAGCCCAACAATTCTAGGTTACAGTGAGCTGTGATCAGCCACTGCACTCCACCTGAGCAACAGAGCAAGACCCTGTCTCTTAAACAAAAAAAACCTTATTCACAACACACTGAGTTGGCCTAAGCCCCAAGCGGCTGGTGGGTAGTTACTCTTGTGAGTAGGGCCTAAGCGT